ATATAATCAAATGTGCAATGAAGCAACGGCTTTTATCGCGCGCGTTATCAGTTTAATACGCTTCGAGACAATTGTCTGAAAACTGCGAGTGTGAACAAGACATGATAAACATCTAATACTCGTAAATCGGAGTATGCAATAAATCTGGATGAAATGCTAAAGCTCGTTCTTCAGCCTTAAGTTGAGCGGAATGGAATCGCACCGTGCTGAACGTGACCAAAGGAAAGAATACGATAGCCCATTCCTTTAAAGCTCGAAACTATGGTATAGGATTACGGTTATAGTGTGTACTCGACGAAAGCTGTTCTATCGCGAATAACGAGTGCACTACGACGAATTTTTTATAGCCATTTACGTTTGCATGCATTATTACGGCAAAGTATGATGGAAACTTATGTATTAGAGGAAACGATTAGATTTTTCAACAGTTCCAGAAAATTGCACATACGCGCAAATCTTCAGAATTACCAATAAGTATAATATTATTTGGCTAAGGCAGTTCATTTATAATTCAAACAAGTACACTCTACACAAAAATTTTTCGATTAAACGCGCAATAACGACCCTGTGGTGATAAAGTCAAATTTGCGCTTCAAACTGTCGACTTGCGAATTACACAGTTGTCACCGGTTTCGGTCGAGCAGATTCCGTCAAGTAGCAAAGATAATAAACGACCTCTGAGAGACCGCACCCACGCCGACTATCACTATTCCGTCTATTACCGTGGTAATACCGTTGGCTCTCGTCTATCGGTGGAACAGCTGCGCGAAAGGGCCCCTTCGGACACGGCGACGCGCGCGTTTAAACGAAAATTATTAGATGCTTGCGACGGCCGACCGCATACGGTAGACTGTGCGGAGACGGCCATTACGGCGGGCCGGTCCGCGTCGGTCGGGTGCGAGGTATCCCAGTGGGCTGATCGGATCGCTGAAATTGAGCAGCGTCGACTTCATTAGAATTTAACGTTGTGCAAAGTGAGCGCTAAGTGGATCTCTTCGTTCGACTGTCGTCCGCTGCACCTGCAACCACGATTTTCCATGGGGATTATTTAACTGCAGCTGCTCGCAATATCTCATATTTTTGGCATGTCTCCGATCTCGGTTGTATCCGGCGCTTTCAATGCGATCGCGGAAAACTAATTTAAAAAAATTTTTTTACCCAGTGTTTTACTTAAATTTACGAGCTATTTTAGCTATTTTTCCAAAAATTCGTTTCATTTAAAAAAACTTTTGAATGATAAATGTGGGGCGTATATTATTAAACCAATTACAACCGTAAATCTGTTACGTGGTAAATGCAGCCCGCGTGTGTAGTACAATTAAAATATACTGACACAAAATTGCGTCGTTGTGTATCGCGGACAATTAATGTTGCTCATTGAACTGCTGACAACTGATTTACTTTGTTAATTATTCCGTGATATTCCTAGTTTATGAGAAACACTAATCTGCGTCTAACAAACATATGGTAGACAGACGATCGCTTATTATTGGTTACACAACCTGTTAATCGAAACCACATTAGTTACAAGATAATTTTACCACCGGTATATATAATTTACATTTACATTATCTATATATCCGTAAAGTGAATATGTACAAGTTTAATCCGGCAACAGGACTGTATACACATATGTGTTATATCCTGCCATTTTAAGGAATACAGAAACGTGTGTATATATAGGAACTATATAATATTTCTAATTTATATATATATGTATTAAAATGAGATACAATTTTCATGCTGCTGAAAAAGATATTAAAAAAGTACTAACATCAGCACAATAGGAATATAAAGAAATAGTCAATAAATAAATTCAAATGAAAAAAAAACACCGATTATAAAACTAAAAATGATTGGTTTTTATTTTGGACAAGTTATACCAATGTTCACAAAAATAAGATAAGAAATTATTTAGTGACTATTCGTAATAATAATCATTTAATAATCGCTAGCCTCTGAATAATTTGCTAAGAACAGAAAGCACAGCATCCATAAGTAACACTACTACAGCAACAGAATCTTAAAAGATCTGAAGAGAAGAAAAAGCGAAAGGAGAGAGCGCTACAAAAGCCGTCCGAGTACGTCTTTGTTTACTTCGAACTATCTCCATTCGCGTTTTCGTCTTTTTTCCGATTCTCCTTGCTCACTTTCGGCTCCTTGCGGCGCGTCTCCTTTATCCTCGCTTCTCAAGTATCGCCTGTCCTTATCCTCTCGAATCGCCTTGCAGTCTCGGCAAGATTCCTTTTATCCCGGCGATATCCCGTCGGCCCTCGCCCCCGTCCCGTCGTTTAAACAAACCCCCGTAATCGAGACCGAATCGATGGATTAAGAATCCAATTGCTACTCTCTCTCTCTCTTTCTCTTTCGCTCTCACCGTCTTCGTCTCAACATCGGCGTCTTACGTCCCGTTCCACGCAGCGTAAAATCCCCTCGAATCTAACTCTCACAGGACGCAAGCTACCGGCTGGCTGGTATCCGCGGCCGAGAGAAATCGCGCGGGATGGACGTTTTCCCGAAATACATTTCTACTATTGCGGCATCGACGCTCACGATAGCGTACCTATAGAGGCAAAAGCAACGACGGCAGCGGCAGCAGCAGCAGCAGCAGCAGCAATAAAGTTTGCTTTATTTTTACTATCCCTCCGGCCAAGTACCGCCCCGTATTTCCTCGGGATATTGACATATCGGGGGTGCCGGGGCTTCTCCTCTTAACGCCCTTTTTACACTGGCTCGGAATTTATGTCTTCTTCCTCCTCTTCTCGTTCCGCCCTCCACCTTTATCCCCCCGCCTAGCACCCTCGTCACCGTTCTACGTCTTCTCCGCCTCTCCATCTCGCCATTCCGCGTTTCTCTTCTATCTTCCTTGTCCTTCTCACCGACGGCCGTTATTCGGCGGCTTTCTCTCCCCCCCCCCCCTCTTCCTTCCATGCGCCCCTCTAATTCTTGTTCTATTCCCCGTGTCCCCGCGCCCCTGGGACAATCAATCACGCACGCGTATCTCCGCGCTCGCAGAATCAACCGGAAATCTCTATTAGAAGCCGAATCGCCGCGGCCTCTTTTTTCCCCCAGCATGTCTCCGATCGATCCTGCCGATCGATCGGCTGTAGAATGACGTAGACACGGCCGTAACTGGCAACGATTTCTTCGTTGAGCGCTTTTTCGACGACCGAGAACGCCATTCAGATGTAAAATCACGGATTAGGAATCCCGAGAAACGAATGGTACCGAATTTTCTACGTGGCGCAGTCAAACCGTGGAGCGGGATAAAAATATGTAATCCCGGGCGTGACAGGAAGCCCGCGACGCATATCCGCTTGTCTGCTTGAAAATCGGATTAGTGCCCTTACTGATATTCCGTTCTACGGAAAGTTTTGACGTACGTCTCTAGATTCTTCTTTCCGTTTCGCGGTCATCAATAATAATCAAAATTGAATTTGAAACGGCTGCATGACTCGGTGTAATAAATATTTCATTTCCGCGCTACTGTTTCGAGATGCAAAGATCGGAACGCGCAATGATATCTATTCAATTGCGAGCTGAAGGCAGCAATTTTTATCCAGGCCAGATTTCGCAGAGTCAGCTAATATGATGCGGCGTTCACTAACTTTTTGCTCAATCGAGCGAAAAATGTTCTAGTATACAGTTCGGAGAGCAGGGAGAGGGTAAGAGAGGAGACCTTTATAGTGTATTAATAACCGTGTTTTTACTGGTTTATCGAGCACGTTCGGAAAATCGTCAGATGAGGGCCGCGTAAAAACGCGAAGGCGAACGGCGGTCGCAATCCAGTCAGTAGACGCGGAAAAACAATGAACAATCGTTCGTCGAGGGGGTTGTATCTCGCCTGCCTCTATCCATCCCTCGTTTTTCACTGTGTTTCTATTTATTGGTACCACGGGACAGACACGGCCGCGTAAGAGCGCGCGATAAAAAAAAGCGGGGACGCGAGCGTACACCGCGAGGGAAATGGGAGAGCCGGAGGATTAGAGAGAGAGAGTGAGAGACGCGGACGGTAGAGTCCGCGAACACGGCGGCGAAAAACGCAATATCGTGCCAGGAATGTCAAGCCGGAAGCAGATCGAGTGGACGCTCAAAATCGGTTCGACAAAGCTCGCGAACCGTTTACCGAGGATGGAGAGTCTTCCAGTATGCAACTTCGATTGCTGAATAGCGCGCGCGGCCGTGCCTCGTTACGAACGTTCCGGCGCGAGTGGGAGTAGGAGGTTGTAGCTATCAACTGTAGTCGATTATAGGCAAATTTTATTTGACATCGATGGATATATACGGTGATGTCAATTAAACGATTCGTTGATGCAGCGTATTTGACCATTCAGATATTCTGTTATTTACGTATCGAGTATGTAATCCCGACCGTGGCATGCGCGGCATTTCTAGGGTCAATAAAGAGCCCGTGTGCGAGTTAATTCCGATACAATAGGAATATTGGAGACATTATTGACGTGCACAAACGTTATCTTTATACAACGATATTTGTAATGTCAATCAATATGTGAATTCGGTTTGGACGCTAAAAATAATTTCGCGAATAATTTAAAGATAATAAAGCAATTCCAATTTTCCTAATAATATTCACAAAAAATTCATACCGCCGGTAATTAAAATTCCTCCGCGCTGATTAAAAGATTGGGATTAATAACTAATCAAATTTCAACAATATAATAATCCAGTGTCATAAAAGATATCGGAAAAATTAAGCGCCGCATTTATTTTAAACGCGTTTTATAAAAACTAATTTAGCTATCAAATCTTTTTATGTAAATGTTATTAAAAAGCGTGAACCATTTTAATTCTATTTTTTCAAAATATATGCATTACATTCCAATTATCTTTTACCTATAAAATTACATGCTTATATACACGGCTCTCAGCAGCTGTTAGCTTTTATTTAATGTAATCCGGTAAATCGATGCATAATATGCGCGACATATGAAATGTCTTCTTGAATAGTTTGCTTCATAAAAGGGCATATTCTGTTTCAGGTCAAGTTGATCTCTGGACACAGAGCACTACGGGCTGCGCTTGCAGCTTTAACTCGACCAGTAACGATTGCGCTTGTTGTGTACCGGCGGGCGGCTGCAGCTGCGGCGCAGCTTCGCCCGATAGATGCGCTCAGTGCGGCCTGGAGCAACATTGTGCGAATAGTAAGTATCACTAAATAAGTCTCAGCCTACAGCACCATTTGGTTACATTGAAATGGTTGCTCAAACGTAATGTTTTACTACTGAAAATTTTCTCGCCTAACTGCATTCGGACATTAATTAAAACTGTTGCGAATGCACGTGGCGTGCGTGTTTTAACAAAAGTAATAATATTTTTTGGGAAGGGTTTTATTTGAATGTGGAGTGACATAAACGCGCGAACCATGCCAAAATTTTTTCTCATTCCTCCCGTTGTTTGCTTTCCTCCCCGTTCGCCAACGATCAACTAATTAGTGTATTTACTTCCTTAATTTTACGGAAAATATAATTACGTCGTGTCAAAAAGACACGGGCGATCTCTTTGACGCTAGAGACAAGATTCGCGCCATTAAGTCACTTGCTTCGCGCTGCTTCTCGTTTGCAGACGCTCGTGTCCCGCGAACAAGTGGAAATTAAAGCGCGCGCGGAAAGCGAGTCTCTTTAGAAATGGTCGGTGGCACGGTGCGGAGCAACGGGGAGGTGTGATTCAAAGAGCGAACAGGGAAGAGAAAAGGGAACGGGCGTTTATAAGAGGATGAACGCTCGACAAATGCTCAAAAGACACCGAGATATCCGAGGAATAGGAAGTCTGGTCTCAGTCGAATGTTTGCGGCTCGCTTTGCACGTTTATAAAGGGAATAAATCGTTTCGGGGATATTTCTCTTGTGTGCCGTCCTTTCGACCTTTCTTATAACTAATCACTCTTGACGAAGTTCTTATGCTTCATCCATCTAACCTTTCTTTGCGCTAATTACTTGGGGGCGATATTGCCTTCGTGTTTCATCCATCAAATCTTTTCTCCACAGCTTTCTTTCAACATCGCGGAAATGTATACGGAACCACGTAGATGCACTCTGTATGGATAAAAAGGTTTATAAGTTTTTCTTCCGTATAAGTTTATTGATTATCTGATGTGAAAAATTTGTTAAAATACGACAAATGTTAAAATACCTTTTTTCTTATTTCAGCAACATAATTTGCATAATGTGAATTAGTTTAAATTCTATGTAATTAAAGTGGATTTAATAATATTATACAAAAACATATCTATATTTAAAAACTATGTTTATTGGATTTTGTGCTTTTTTAATGTAGTTTTAGATTTATAAGAAAAGTCCTAAAAATGACGTTCATAGTGATAATTCTCAAGAAATATAATATGTCGACTGACAAAACGATATTTGCACTACAATCACAAAACGTCCAACGCGACATCCCACGGGAAGCAATTAAGAATCAAATTACATACTGCGGCAGATTACCTCATAATATTGCGCCAAGCTGTCGCGACTCGTCGTCGCCCGAATGGCACGGCTACACGAGACGCGCCAATAAAACTCTGCACGAGCAAGAAAATTCGTTATTAGCTACACTTCATTTTTCTCGCTGTCTCTCTGTTCTCTCTTTTTCTCGCATGATTCGGATTCCACGTCGAAATTCTAGAACGAAAGCTCAGTATTATAAAATTAAAACTTATCTAGATACAAAAACGCAATTAGAACTGCAATTTTACATTGTACAAATTATTCTTATTCGTATTTGCTATAAAATTAATTGAAAAATTTATAGGAAATTTTTTCAGAAAAATTTTGCGATATTAATCCAGGTAGGATTAAGCGAGTGAATTTACTGCCATGTCACCATTCAGTTCTTCGTCTTTTTACACAGTCGTTTTGTTCCATTTCAGTGTGCAACATAACGTTGGACAGCAGGCAGCTGTTAGGCAAATCGAATCGCGGCTTCGGGCAAATAAAGTCACCGTATCTCCAAGGGCCCTCGAGGTGTACATACAGATTCGTGCCGGATACCGGACAGCGGGTTGAGCTGCAGATATATCGACTGGTATCCATCGGCCGACACAACGGCACCGCGTAAGTAGCTTTTCGGTGACGCCTTTCTTTCGATCCGCTCGTATCGCTTAACGGCACCCTTTTGCGCCTCCCTGCTCCTTTATAGCCATGACCGTAAACTTTATGGGAAAGTATTTCCGTCGTGTACACAGCGTCTGTTTAATACAGCCATAGTACATGCACAGTCTGCAAACTTGCATCGTCTTGCAGTCGAGCCAAATAATTTTAGACATATAATAAAGCGTGTAAAGGAGGAAAAGAAACATGAATGGAATGGCACTTGTACATTTTGTATTGTTTAAAGGATATTCGGGTAGCCTTGCTATTTTTCACAGCGAAATGTCGCAGATATATTACAGATAAAGGATGCGAAGACTTTTGTGAAATTTTTTACAATCACTCTTACCTTGCGAAGGTAAAATGTTTTAAGAACGTTTGTCATTCGTCAATAACTTACAACTTATCGTCGCGCCGCACGAGAAAACCCTTGTCCTCACTTTTCTCACACGTACGAGCAGTTGAACAGGGCCGCGCGGACCGATATGATTGGAAATCGCTCTCGTCGATGGTCGCTTCAATTTGTCATACTTCCGCTCTTACGAGACGATAGTTCGGCTCTCAAGCTCCTCTCGACACTCGGAGAGGAGGGGGGGGGATGAGGAGTCGAAAGTGACGGCGGCAGTGCTACGGGGGAATCGGAGGTTGGGTAGAAAAATTACTGTTTTCAGAAATCTCCCGCGGCAGCTCTCTAACCCGCGTTACGCGCGCACGCGCATACACACACACACACATACACGAACTCGTCCACTCCGTGGACAAACTTTGTGGCGAACGGAAAAGACCTTCGACAAGCTCTGGAAAAGTTCTTACAATTTTTCGACAAGGCTCTTCACCTTAGCCTTCGCGTTTCCCGTTCCCACGCGCAGCGACGGCAGAGTCGAGCTTACAGCGCGCCCAGCGTCATATGAGCTTACTCTAGTGGCTTTTGTTCCCGCTCTGGAATACGCAAAGCGCGCGCGAGTGTACACATCTACGGGGGCGGATATATGCTTACGGCGCGCGGGTGGTGACACAAACGGGAAATATGCGTCTCTGCTCTCGCTATTGTTACCTTCCCTGAAAGAAAGTACATTTCCGTTAAATTTCCAGCGAGTTTTTATTACGCCGTGATATCTAGAAATAAATTATTTCCGATTGAACTTATTGAATCGAGTGCAATTGATGTAAATACGCATAAGCATAGACGGAAACTAAAATTTCAACTCGCGAAAATAAAAATTTTACTAATAATATTTTATACTTCTTATTATTTATTATTGGAAAATTTTCAAATTAAATACTTATAAGCTGCCGTAAGAAATCGATGGTCTCTCTTTACATCTTCATAAAATCCTGAATACGTACGGTTAAAAGATTTGAAACGCTTATTCGCTTAAACGACTCGGTGAAATGCAAATTTATATCGTGCTTTTTAAAACAGCAAGATGTTTCGTAAACGATCTGCGCCATCATCCGCTACGTAAAAGAGCGCAGCCGTAAAAGATGCAGAAGCCCGCACTTTAAGTCCACTTGTTAGCGAGGGAAACGGCCGGTAAGCTGAGGGCGAGAAATATCGTTACTCTTGCCCGCGCGGCCAAGGCTGTTCGCGTTTCTTCCGTTCTCTGAGCGTTGTACTCTGAGAAACTGCAACGACCGGAAGAAACAGCGCCGTCTTCACGAACCGTATCGCGCAAATCCTTCTGCATGGGAAAATATTGTCGTTTGATCGGCTTTATCGCGGGAAATCCTGCGAAATTTTAGTGTTACTTTACCGAGCAGAATCAGTGAGGAATTTCTCAGGTCATTTGCGATGCATCTGAAGTTCAATCGCGAGGAATATCACGAGAAAGTATAGAAAACAGAGAACTGAAAGTATTCAAGTTATTGTCTAATATGCGAGCTTCGTCTCTGTGTCGCATTAAATCGACTTGATACCGCTGTAAATCAAACTGTAGCGATCTGATGTTGCGCAAATATATTCGCTCGCACGAATTCGTAAAAAATGTACACGAGACAAGCGTGACATACATACATAGATAACTACATGTAGATAACACGTTTAAACGAACACTCTGCTGCAAAATTTTGTTTGTTAAATTGTGCACAATCTTTGGAGAGGATTTCGCGTTTACGAGTGAGATTGAAATACCCGGTTTTCGTAGTTTACGCAACGCATGACGCTGAATTAATATCACAGGAACACGGCATAGGACGGAGTTGGTGGAAATATGACAAACGACACATGTTACACGGCACGGTCGTGTAATACGTGTGTAGTTCATGCTCGTTAAGTTATAATTAATGTAACTTTCCGGGTCCGTCTATGTGGCACACCATAACAGGATCCTTGTGTTGCTTTACGTCACGTTCGCTACATCCTTCAAAGAACAAAGGGTTGATCACTGATTATAGAGCATTATGTTACTAGTGCATCCTATCTTCCATCAGACAATTTTCTTTCCGGAAAAGTTAAGAAGTCGGATTCGCTTTTTTTTCAATTATCGAAATAATAAAAATAATAATTTTCGCTAAATGGAAAATAATCTCTCTACGACAGTCATCGCATTTTGCAGGCATTTACGCTTTGCATAACTCACTTTCCCTTTATATTATCCTTCTCCTCTTCGGCGAATGCCCTTTCACGAACGCAAATCGTCTATCTTACCGCTGTCCCACACAGGCGGACTTCCCGGAGTCCTTCTCGAACACTCATAGGAGCTTGATAATGGAACGCAAATTTCGAGGAAAGGAACAAAGCGCGGGCCACTCGGACACCTCGTGTTCGAGCCGGAAGATGTAGGTGCTCCTAATTCCGAATACCGAATCGCGATCACCTCAATGTACGTGCGCGCTCTCGATGAGACGCAATTAGGTCAGGTCCTTGGCTGGACATGTACTTCATTCCGTGAATGTCCTTCGAATGACCCGTGCCGTGCAATTTCAGGTCCAACATAGGCGATTGCTCTCGTCAGTAATATTCTCGAATGGAGAGCGGCATCGAAAAACGTTGTATCTTCTCTACAACATCGCAATTGCTGCATATTGCAGCAATTGCGATGTTGCGCTTTGAGATATTCATTTATTTGCAAAGTATTCGCTTTGATATTTTCTCGCGAAAAAAGAATTGAAAATTACATCAAGATTATATTTTCCCTAATAAGTCCACGCGATTCGTTTTATTCTATTTGACGATTACAAAATTATAATAATTGATGAAATTTAATTTTAATATCCACATTACGTGAAGTCTAGCGAGAGTAATGCCGCAGGCGTAATACTTCAATCCTCGAATTGATTTGCGAAAACAATGCGTATGCTAAATCCGCAGAGATATTGAGTGCATTCAAATTAACCGTGCGGAATTAATTTACGGGCTCTATTGAACGCTGTACAAATTTCGTACTTTCCCCACTCGTAAACTTCCGACGGTGCGCATTCTCGAAAATTGGTTTCGCACAACATAGTTGTGCATGCGGGATAATATATTCGCCGCTGTCCGAGATTGCGCAAATTAACCGTGGTGCGTGCCACCATCAATGTTCCAGGAATCATCTACTCGCTGAATATTGCACGCTCATCTTTATAATTTTCCCGTTTCAATAACATAAATGTATCTCTATATATATCTATCTATCCACCCATAAAGTTAATTAATTCGCGATAATGAATGAGGTATTCGTAGGGAAAATAATACTGTGGAGAAATGCCGGCATATTAATTTGCGAAATTGAATGATTGAATAATCAAATGCGATAGAGGGAGGATTAATTTGGATAGACGTGGATGTATTTATTTAATTCACAGAGTGGAAGCCGTAGGCAGTCTATAAAGTAATATTCGCATAATGAAGATTCGATACATAGAGAGAGGAGGAGCGCGCGTCTCATCGAAAACTCCCGCCCGCGCCCGCTCGCCGATTCGATTGCGATGAAAAATATGAGAAGTTAATTAAAAAAACATCTCATGAATAACGCACGAATTATCCTGCATAAAGCAACTCGTTATCCATGCCCGTCTCTCTCTCTCTCCCTCCCTCTTTCTCTTTCTCTCGCGAGAAACATTAACCTGCAGAATGCTGAAAAATTGCCTTTGCCGGCTGCAGCACCGGCGACACACATGCGCGCCTCCGTAATTAATTCATCGCGATATCACGCGAGAGGTATAACTCCCGCATTACCCATGAGGTATCCTGCGAATATTCTGGCCGGCTTGTTGACTGATGCGCGCGACGCAGCCTAGGGAACGTGGATTTCGTTCGTCAGTCTCTGGAAAGCACGGAAAGCTCCCGCCGCTCCTTCGCCGCGCGTCCCTCTCTCTTTCTCTCTCGTCCTTAGACTTCACTCTTCCGTCTTGTCGGTTCACCCGCGTACATGCGGTCAGGGTGATGGTGTAAGCGACAAAATTACGTCGCTCAGCGGAATACTATTAAGTGGGGTAACGGAATAGAATGAGTCACGTCGGGTGATGGATGACCTTAATTTCGCTATGATTACCGGCGGCTCGGGAATTTGTATGAAAATCGCCCGGGGCCGCTTCTTTCACACGATCCCCCCCTCTCCTTTCCACCGCGCGCCTTCGATCACTCACCGACTTCTACTCACCCCGTTCTCGTGTCTCGTACCTCCCCACTTTTCTTCCTCCCGCGATCGCCGTCGCAATTTTCAGATTAATACGCCGTCGTTTTAATTTTATGTTTCGCGAAAGACGCCTTCCATAGAATTGTACGCGTCTTTCAGAAATGAGAAATTACATCGATATATTTAATGACGTAGATTACCAGTTCGGTTAGTAGCTTGTTAAAGCGTGACAGCCCTCAAAAGATTAAGGAAGAAAAATGAAGGGAAAAGAAGATACTTCGCCGGAATACCGAGAATAAAAAAAATGACACCGCTGCGTAAGGAATAAACTTCTGAAGTCTGGCATCTAGAGAACTGACACTTTAATCAACGCGGAGTTCGCGTAAAAATTAATAAATCTCTTCC